ATTTATTTTTTGAAAACAATACTTCATGGTGGCAATCACACATTTGACTAATGCTCAAAAGATTTGCTTTAAGACCATCAACAAGAAAAGCATTTTCGAGCTTAGGGAGACCAGCAACACTTATAGAGCCCTTACCAATGACTCTAGAGGTGCCACCATCTCCAAAGGTAACAATTCCTCCGTCATATTTTTCAAGGGTGGTAAAGTAGGATTTGTTACCGGACATGTGACGAGAGCACCCACTATCAAGATACCACATGTGTGAGTCATGTGCTTTTAGAGCAGTATGAAGAGCTAAACAAGTCAAGTCATCTTTTCTCACCCAAATCTTTTGGTCTTAACAAAATCAGGTCTAGTGGTCTTGGTAAATGACTTGGCGTTGTGAACACCCTCATGAAACTTGGTATTCTGCCTAGACATGCAAGGCTGTCTCCTAACCCAAAAAGTATTCGAATTTCTACCCTTTTGAGACACCTCACCAAACAATTCAAAGCAATAAGGACGAATGTGGCCATACCTACCACAGTGATGACAAATAAAAACAGGTTTTACCTCCCTTTTGACGATCTTACCCCCTTTAGGTAGATAAAGAGAGAGATCAGCCTTGTCTACCTTCAGCTTTCCTTTTGTTTGAGTCTCCAGGTCATGTGAAGTAGAGGCCTGTCCCGTGTGAGCTGTTGCACCATAGCCTAGCCCACTTTTGTCACAACCCATTTGTTGAGACCCAAGGATGTCTTCTAAAGATTTGGAACCTTTGTTCCACATGGCAATAGTGGCTCTAGCAATACGGAGTTCTTCATCTTTCTGACAGACTATCTCTTCCAATGTAGCTTATGACATCTCAAGGCTTTCAAGCTTCTCTTCATATATGGAATACACCTTCAGAAGTTCATTCCTTTCAGTTTCACAGGATAGAAGTTTTCCACATAAGTCTTGCCTGTCACTTGAGATCTTGATGATATTTTGCTTTACTGCTACAAGTTCTCCTTTCAGCTTGACATTCTCGCTTTCACATGCTTTGAGTTTGAGAGAGAGCTTGTCATTAATTTTGGACAAATTTAGAGATTCCTCGTAAAGTTTTTCGTAAGCTTGTTGCAGTTCATCACCATTAATCTCATCATTGTCTTCTGATGTTTTTATCATCCTCTTTTTGCTCTTTATTCTCCTTGACCTCATCCAATCTAGCAACTAAGGTAGGAAAGTTGCTGGATGGTGGTGAAAGTGAATCTCCTCTTTCATGAAATTGGCTCAGAATTTCCCATGCATCTTTAGCCTTTGTGCAGTGAGCAACCCGTTGCTTTTCTTCATCAGAAATTGCTCCACGGATAGTAATCAGGGCTCTCTGATTGCTTGGATTGTCAGCACTTTCTGTATCTTCTTCAATGGCCTGCCAACCTTCTGGATCAAAAGCTCTCAGAAAAGCCCTCATTCTGATCTTCCAATATAGGTAGTTGCTCCCATCAAAGGTGGGAGCATGATGCAGGTTCTAACCATGAGCTAACTGCGCTGGCTTTGGAAGAGGTTGAGTGAAAGTGGACCAAAATGCCATGAAAGCACTATCCGTGTCTTCTCCAGATTCAGGTTCTTCGGGTTCTTGCTCTGACTCGCTTTCATCATCCCAAGTCACAGTGTAGACTTTCTTTCGATTCTTTTTCGAAGGGCATTCAAGGGCAATGTGACCAAACCCTTGACATTCATAGCACTTGACCCCTTGCCCCTTTACAATCTTCTTTTAAGCTTTTGGAGCAAATTTTGGTGGAAAAGTTTTGGGTTTTTCATTACTCTTGTCTTTTGAAATAGGGTCTCTGAAATTAGGTTCTTTTTCTTCAATTTTTTTTTAAACTGTTTAGTAAACATAGCCGTCATCTTAGACTCTAAATCAATTCATTCTCCGGAGTTTTTGCAGTCTCATGAGCACTAGTGAAAGCCACACTTTCTTTTTGTTTTTTCTTTGAAATCTGGTGGGCTTCATAAGTCTGGAAGTTTCCAACCAACTGATCAAGCTTGAGGGTATCAACATTCTGAGCCTCCTCAATGGCTATCACTTTTGATTGGAACCTCTCAGGTAATGACCTCAAAATTTTTCCAACAACTTTAGCTTCTGGGATTTTTTCATCGAGTGTGAAACAGGAATTCACGATATCACTGAGTTTTGCATAGAAATCATCAAACGTCTCATCATCGCGCATAAAAAGGGTTTCAAAAGCGGAGGTGAGACGTTGAAGTTTTGACCTTTTGACAGAAGTAGTACCTTCGTGAATTGTTTGCAAAATGTCCCAAGCCTCTTCTGCTACCTCACACGTGCAGATACGACGAAACTCTTCAGGTGTGACGGAGCAAAACAGGGAATTGAGAGCCTTACTGTTCCAACTCGAGTTTTGGTAATCAGTTGTGTCCCATTTATCAAGGGGTTTAGGAATATCAACACCATCAATGGTGATAGTAGGTTCATTCCACCCAAAGATCACGCTGTGCCAAACTTTCTCATCGATGGATTTTAAAAACGCTCTCATACGAGCTTTCTAATAAGAATAGTTTGTACCATCGAGTAAAGGAGGTCTATGGATCGAGTTACCTTCACAAATAGAATCCATA